ATGGTAATGTGTTAGAACATGTTATACGTTTTTCTGAATACAGATTAAAATACATAGTTACTAAAATTAAAAAAAAAATGCCCGTGAGCATGCTACCTAAAGCAACTCACAGGACGCCCGTGGAACGCACAGTGTAATACACTAAAAAGCTTAAAAAGCTGGCAAATATTCAACGAGAGGGATGCATGCTACTCCACTCTCCAGGTCTCCATTCCAATCCTGATGACAGAAGGTGGTGTTGGGCAGAGATCTGGGGCCCCTCTCTCCACTGTCTCTCTCACACCATTCCAAGCAACAGAGAAAAGACCTTTCTAAGACTTATAGGAGTTCGAGTCAAGTGCTTTCTTATTGTGCCCTTGGCGTTCAGGACGCAGGGCTTCTTGCTCCCATGTTGGAGTGGGCTTGCGCGAGGATGCCTGCAGTTGCCTGGCCATTCCCGGCTCATTTCTTGAGGTGTAGTAGCAAACCCTGTTTCTGCTTGAGATCTAAGCCTCACTCTACCCAGCTTTGCTAGGGAACCCCATGATTTGGATGATAACATACATCTCAATCGCCTTCTGTCTCCTCTATTTCTCACTCGTTCAAATTCCAACACAGCATGTAGTTACAAAAACAAGTGAAAGAATGAGAGAAGAAAATGTTGATGGAAGAAGATGCATGCAGCTATGGTACAGCAAAATACTGTGTGTATATAAACATTTAATGATCGCTTGTTATGAAAAAGTGTTTTTTAAAAAATTAATGAAACTTGATACTCAAAATACTGTTGAGTTCTCCTTCCCCAACTTGGGGTTAGAGTCATGTAGCAGTCTAGTCTTTTTGGCTGAGTCTGTGCACACTGGAGCAGGGGCACCCTCCTTTGTTCCCTAGTCTCTGAGAAGCAAGGAGATATACTAGAAAGAATATTGGCCTTGGGGTCGGGCCTGGGGACAGATTCTGGATGTTTGAAGTTGGGCAAATTACCTAGGCTCCCTGAATCTCAGGTTTTACGTGTGTAAAATGGCAACAATAACCTTCCTAGGGTTGTTGTGAGGATTAAAGGAAATGCGTGTGAGTCAGCGAGACTGCCATTCAGAAAGAAATTCACATCCATGTCTAGGTATCCACTGGGCATGTCCCTATCTATAGTTTTTAAAGAGGTTTGGCATCTTTCCCTTGCATGGAAGTGGAGCCTGAGCGGTCGTGCTTATATTCAGAGGCCTTTTTCAGCACAGATAAAATGCCAAAACAATAAAGATTTTGATAGGATGTGTACCTTTGTGCAAACAAGCTTGCATAGCAAAATGGTGCAGATAAACGCAGATGACAATGGACTTTATACAAATAAATGAAATGATGTTTCTCTAGTATAAAAATAGATCAAATGGTAAGAGCACAAAAATAGGTGAAACGGTAACATAAACTGACTTGTGTAATCAGAGGGTCAACTCTTGACATTTTTCTCTCTAGGCCTTTTCTAATAGTTTTGTTGCTAAGGCTACAGTGTTTTTGCCAGATTGGAACAGCACTGTCAACTCTAATGAAGATTAAGTAGCTTTCCCAACTAGATTTTTTTTAATAAGCATCAGTTAATACTGCTGGCTTTCAAAGCCATGTTCGTGAAGAATGGAAAGATCTTTAAAGATCTGTTCTTAGAAAATGTAGCTCATAAAATTTGGAATTTAGCAGCATTTCTATTCCATAGTTATTCCAACACAAATTTTTATCACGGTTACACTGAACAAAATAACTTAAAATCTAATTTCACATATTTAATTAAAACAAGAATAAGAAATTATTATTTACAACTTTAGCCAAAAATTAATTCCCTAAAGAGTAACTGAGGTTACTTAACGAACAATTCTTTTGACTAGTGGGTAAAGTGTTTCACAACTGCTCACAAAGGCACACTTGATTTATTCTTTGCACAATATGGATAAGTTACAGGAAGTCATCTGAGGAAAGTGTAAATACAAATGCACCCAAAGAGACGTAGAGTTTTGTAAAGCGGAGTAAATGAAAACCAGTTTGCTCTGGACACTCAATTGCTAAGAGGATGTCAAAGGTAAGAGCCATTAGGAAACGGGTGAAGAAACACTCCTTTTGATGTGCTTGCTGAGGAGCCAGATGAGCTTCCTTGGTCATGGACAGAAGAGACCATCTAAACTCTAAAAAATGTAGTGCAGTTTGCACGCCCGCTGATTCCGCAATTCTACTTGTGCACTAAAGCATGAGAATTAAATTAAATAATTCATGTGAAGTGCTTAGCCAATTACAGATGCTGTATTTCCTTCCTTGGATGTCTATATTTTTGTAGCCAGAAATCCCACTGTTAATTTCCAATAAGAAAAGCTGAATATTACAGCCTTTAAAGTCAAAAGTTCACCTTAATTTGAATATTGCAGCATTAGTGACATCTGGTGGAAAATGAGTTACAATGCGGCATTATAGCTATTCTGATCTGTCCTGTCTAATAATAATATTATCACTTTCATCACATTTTCACATACCCCTTTCCCCAACTCCATGGGAGGAGTATACTTCCCTGCCCCACTGAAGTTTGGCTCAGCCACAAGACTTGGCCAAAATCAGTGGAATGTGGGCAAAAATGTCAGTGTCAAAGTTTGGAAACTAAGCTTTAAAAGTCCTGGCTAGCTCTTGCCCCTTCAGTGGTAGAATGAAACATGTGACCTGCAGATTTGCATGAGAATAAAACAAGCACCCCAGATAATCCACAGACTTACAGGAAAAAAAAAAATGCTTACGGTTATTCTATGGTTGTTTGCTATGAAGCGAAAGCCAACTAAAACATGAGATCGTTATACCTCTGTGTAAAATTCCCATCCAGGCTTGACTTCCCTGTCCAATTGATGACACTGGGAGAAGAGTCCTGAAGACCGGGTGTGGTTCAGTCCCATCTGGGGCTCTGTTTCAGACCTCGACAGGCCCAATCGGAACATGTTGTTTTCATTCCTGTACCTATGGTAAGCAAAACCGAGTCAGAGTCCAGGCCAGGCCTATCAGAGGCCTATCAGACTCTCTTGGAATCTTGGCTTCTCTGTTTCACATGGTATGGAAGTCACGCACGTTTTGTTTTTTTTTTTCCTTCCAAATCTTTATTTAAATTCTACTTAATTAACATATACTGTAATATTAGTTTCAGGAGAATTTAGTGATTCATCACCTACATGTAACACCCAGTACTCATCAGTCATTCCCAATTCTTGAACCTGTTGGTTTAAATATCTCCCTCCTAAGGTGAGCTTCAAGGTAGAGGAAAGAAGGCAGGACAAGTTTAGCTGGAGCCATAGGCCAAAGCTTTTCCAATTGAGCTTTACCAACAAAGCTCATAGCTTTGTATTTGTATTTCTTAAATGATACATAATCTATAAGGGGGGAAATTAGCAATGTTAGAAATCACAAATTAAAAGTGATAATATTAGGGTCATTTAATTTGGTAAATAAAAACACAAATGACAGAAATTTAAGTATTATCAATGATATATTAAGAAAGTTGCTACCAGTGAGCTTTTGTGGGGGAAGAACCACATTATTTCCGGCCATTTAGCAGAGGCATTGTGTTTCCTAAAGCAGTTACTGCTTTCTGAAAAGAATTTCAAACTTTTGTCCCAAAAGTAGTTTCAGAATTTTCAACTCTCTCCATATTTTTACTGAACTTCCATTTCTGCTTTCTTTCTCAACCTAATGTGTCATGTTATGAAGGTTATGTACAGCCAAGAATTCAAATGTTTTAATCTTACTAGTGACCACTTTGTACTATATCTCATGTTGGAAAACCAGACTCTTGACCATACCTAATTCAAAATCATTTCCATTTCTGCATAACTACTTTTCTTATTCAGGCAAGAGTTGTGGGTGGACCTCTAAAATTAGATAGCTTCAACTCTCAAGGGAATGGGCTTTCGCAACAGCATTCACTACACCCATCATCAAATACGGGGACCTACACTTGTCTTGTAGTGAGAGAATTGCCCTTTATTCTTAACAGGCAGGCAACAGGATCAAACAGATCATTCAGGTGAAATAACAAAGACAAATACATATGTGATAAATCTGTGTAGTTACTTCTTGGAAGCTTGCCATGTACTTTCCTCTCCTTCATATCTCAAACTTCAGAAAGGCCAGGACCCTGTTTCATTCATCCCAATACTTGGCACGTTAACAGGTGTTCACTTTGTAATTTTTGAAGGAATGGATACAGGCTATGTGTTTTTACTTTATAGTGAAGATTAACGAGTTAATACATATAAAGAGCTTAGAACAGTGCCTGATACTAAGCACTTAATTATTACAAAATGAGATAAGATTTAGAACAGAGATTAGAAGAGACTTTTTAGAAGTCTGCCTTCAACTGACCTTGGCAAAATAAGGAAGACTAGGCTAGCAATAAGGCTAGGAGTATAGAAAAGTTCTACAGCCCAACATATGCTAAAATGAATTAATTCCAAATGACATGTATTATTTTATACAAAGAATGATGCTTATTTTAAGTCCACAGTTATAAGATTAAAGGGGTATAATCAAAGCTTGTCCATTAAATTGAAAGCACCTCCAGACTGACTCAAGTTTGTATTCTTAGGCCCTGGTAGGTACAAGATATTATTTGCTATACTGAATCCATCCTACTATTTAACTGTGTTAATACCACACCAATATAAAAATATGTTAAGACAAATTAAAATATACATACTTAACTTTATTACATCATTTAAAGCTTGATTTTATAAAACATAAAAAAAAAATTTAAGTGTTCTGTATCACAGGAATTTAAACAGTGGCAATATACATAGCTTTGTAAGTTCAAGTTATATAAATTAAAATCAAATAACTGGAAATGCTTTTAATATGGAAAATATACAAATAAAATAAATGGCAAAAGGACCTAACAGGAGCAGTATTTCATTACTTACAGATTATCATTAGATAATTTCAGGATCTAAACAAAGACTCTGAATATTCGGACTTCTTTTGCTGTATTTTATATTTAAATATCTGCCTACCTATATTCCGAATCAAGGTACTTGACCAAAAGGTTTAAGAAGGCATTTAGCTTTATGGCAAAAGCTTTCCATCTACAGTTACCACCTTTAAAGGAATTGACATTAACAATGCTGATGTAATCTGCTAGTTCCCTTCTGAACAATGTGCAATAATTTATACCAACCCTGTATAAAGTCATACAGGTACCAAAAAATGGAACAATTATGCACAGTTCAATAGAAGTATAATGTTAAGTTTTCCCCATCTAAAAATTAACCAGTGAAACAAAATGTATCAACTATAGTTGACTTGGTTTCAGGAAAACCACATCTGAGAGTTATAAGTACATCACTGTCCTTATCTTATCCTCAGTCATTGACAGGAATTTTGTAGGCCACCATGCTATTTACTTTGTGGATTGTAGTAGTAAATGAACGAAGGGACGGACTTCCTCAGAATTGGTAATAAACTGTGGTCCCGACTCTTCCCATTTTTCAGGTACAACCAAATCTTTGTCTGTATGTATCAGTAGATCAAATGAACCTAAATTGGGGATAAGATCATTAAAGTACAATTATTTTTTTCTAAAGTACAACCACCCTTCCTGTGTCTTTCACATTTGAACCATCTATAGTGTCAGAAAAGCTAGTTTACCTTGATCTCTAATCAATTATATTAACTAATTGCTTTTCCTCAATGGAAATTTTAGTACAGAAAACACTGTACTCCTTTTACTTTATGAAAAACTCAAGTTTTTTTTTTTTTTAAAGAGAAAACCACTAAAAATATTTGCAGAAAGTATACAATTAATCATGAGACAGCATGAATCTAAGCCATAGAAAAGATAATACCTTGGTTCTGTGACAGCTGTATCCCAGTGCCCAGAACAGCATCTGGCATGTAGTAGGTATTTAGGATATATCTGATGAATGAAGGAGTAACTAAGAAAACAAAGACACAATTATAGCTATAAATCTTAATTATATACATAGAAATGTGTAGAAAATAAAAATAATGAAAGAAATTACATCAAAATATTCAAGAGTGAGTACTGTAGAATACTTTCATTGCTTTCCTTTTCAGCACTTGTAAATAAAATGCAAATAGCATTACTTTAGCTTTATCACACTTTTCTCATTCATATAACATGACATTTATAATTAAGAAAAAACTTAATGAGCGCGTTAATTCTTAAAGTAGTAGCTTAGTCTTTTCCACAACAAATTTAAGCCAGTGTGAAGTTGTATAATACTTACAAGAAACTTCCAATAGTGGCAGAAATGTCACCGTAGCTGTGATCTGTCTGATCACTGAACGGATTTCATCTTGGATAGCTTTCTGAGACTTTTCTCTGGGTGCACTATCAAAGAAACCAATTAATTCATTTTAAGTTTTAACAAGTTCTTTGAAACACAGGTAAGATTATTTATCTGATTAAATGCTTCCAAAATCAAATAAGTAATGCATTCAAAAGGAGTTTTTTTTTAAATGAAAATAAATATATGTCCTTAAGAAACTTAGTAGGCCCAATATGTATCTCTATTATTTCATTTATCCTTCCAATCATTTTTTAGGGTTGTTCTTAGTATCAGGTCATTAAATAACAGATGACTAGAAAACCTGCCAAGTACTTCAAGTCAGGAAAGCTTCAGCATGTCTTAAAATAAAGATAACAAGCAGTATCTAAAATATTGAATCGGTATAATCATTTTGGCATTTTTAGTAATGCCTAAATGTCTAATTTCCTATTGCCTCAAATAAGATGTTAATCGTGTATGGCGTTAATAATTAAACATTTTCTAAAACAGACCAAAGGCTTCAGGAGCAAACTCCATCATTTCATTATGAGAGATAGTTCAGAGTTTACAGGTAAGCATGCCTAGGACGATGCTAGAAATTAGCATATAATGATGGGCATCTCCCATCCAGATAATCTAAAAACTTCAGTTTAATAAGTGTCTAAGGAGGGGCGCCTGGGTGGCTCAGGTAGTTAAGCGACTGCCTTTGGCTCAGGTCATGATTCCCGGGTCCTGGGATTGAGCCCCACATCGGGCTCCCTGCTTGGCGGGAAGCCTGCTTCTCCCTCTCCCACTCCCCGTTTATGTTCCCTCTCTCGCATGCTCTATTAAATAAATAAATAAAATCCTAAAAAAAAAAAAAGGGGGAGTGTCTAAGAAGTTTGTAGCATTAAATGAAATACAGTAGAGCTGCACAGTAAGCTGGGAGAAAGTCTAGGATAATACTTCATGGTTAAAAGTACCTTTCTACAATTCATGAAATGGCCCACCTAGGACGGACAGCATGGTAGCTTTACATATAGCATCATAAACACTAAAGTTTGAAATTTATGGATTTAGCCTAAGCGCAATTATGTTAAAAGTCCGTGATAGGCAAAATTCTTTCGTGAGCACAATTTGTGAGCCCAATCCTTCTCCACAGGAGATTAAAGATCACATCTAACATACTTAGAAACAAACTACTTTATATGAAACTAGTTCAATATAAGTAGAACTCATCTAGTAGAAGAAAACAGTTTTGGAAAAAGATCTGTAAAAATGGAAGCAATTTACTTCATACTTACCTGTCATCTTTGGCAGTCTTGTCACACTCAATATCAAATTGCCACCTTTCAAGGACTTCACCACTTTTAATATTTGAGATGACAACCACCAGTTTCTGAACTGAACACTTGTATAACCAATCTGCAATACATAACAAGGAATCTTTTTTGTTTCACTGCATTACAAAACAACTCTCTTCCCAGGTCTCACTTTCTATCCTCAGCAAATTCCTACCGCTAGTATTTTGGAACTCTGCCAACCTGTACAGAAAACCTGCCCCACAATAACCTAGCTCCTGTTTTCAAATTCTCAGTATTTGTACCAGATATAGTACTGAGTGCTGAAGACAGAGTAGAAAACAGGAAGTACACCCTAATCCAAGTAAGATGCAGGAGATGGCCATTAATCTAATCACTGCACCGATAAATATAAGATTCTAATTGTGATAAACGCTATGAAGGTGCAGTATGTGATGCAATGAGAGCATAAGAGAGGAAAATTGGACTCACTCAGGGAGTTCTCACTTGACTTCAGTTCTACAAATAAATTACCATTAAATATGCAAAAGGGTACAGGTCTTAAATATTGAAAAGGGAAGAGCATCTGACCAGAGGATTGAAAGAAGGGTAATACAACTGCAGTAAAGAAAGGGGAGAATGAACAAGGTCAGTTTGTGTAGGATACACAGGGGTCAGACTATGCAAGGCCATATGGGCCAAATTAAAGAAGTTACACTTCAAGAACCAGGGAAGTCATTACTGTATTTGAAGTATGGTGTGATGTAATTAAATTTGTATTTCAGAACTATCCTTCTGGCTGTGATGTGGAAAGCAGAGTAGAGGTAAAGAGGGGATCTAGAGACACCAATGAATTAGCAATTCAAGCAAGAGGTAATGAAGGCTTAGAGAAGGATAAGCTGGTAGAGATGGATCAGCAGATAGATTCAAGAGACTTCATGGTTAAAACTGTTAGGATTTATTGACTACTTATGAGTAAGCAAGAAGAAAGACTGAGATAGCTCCCAACTTCCTAGTTTATATCGCTAGTTGGATGGCTGATCCATTCACTGAGAAAAAGAATGCAAATGGGAGATGATGCTTAAGTTTTAAGATTTTATTTTTAAGTAATCTCCACACCCAACATGAGGCTGGAACTTAATATCTCGAGATCAAGAGTTGCATGCTCCATTGACTGAGCCAGCCAGGAGCGCCTTAAGTTTAGTTTTCAGGTATCACTGGGATAGCCAGATGAAGATATCAACGGAGCCACGAAATATATGAGCACAATTAGGAGAATTGGGTTGGATGTACATTTGTGAGTCAACTACACCAAGGTTGTTAGTGAAGCTATGTACATGTCAGAGATCATCCTAGAGAGAGATTATAGTGAGAAGAGGGCCTCAGGACAAGCCCTGAATTAATCTTGGAAATTGGGATAGTATACTCAGGAATCTGTAGTGTTTTTTTTTTCTTTTTTTAAGAGACAAAACAATTTTGTAATATTTAGGGTTTGTGGGCCACCTAGGTCTCTGTTGCATAGTCTTTAAAAAACAGCCCTTTAAAAATCTGAAAACAGGGCGCCTGGGTGGCTCAGTTGGTTAAGCGACTGCCTTCGGCTCAGGTCATGATCCTGGAGTCCCGGGATCGAGTCCCGCATCGGGCTCCCTGCTCAGCAGGGAGTCTGCTTCTCCCTCTGACCCTCCCCCCTCTCATGCTCTATCTCATTCTCTCTCTCAAATAAATAAAATCTTAAAAAAAAAAAAAAATCTGAAAACATTCTTAGTTTGCAGGCAGTACAAAAATAGCCACTTGCTAGACACGGGCTGTCGTATGTATCAACTTTTTCTTGACATATATCAACTTTTTCTCAATTTAGCTCTGAAAAGGAAGAAATTGGGTAGTAACTTAAGGATTTGGGGTGGGTGGAAATTTTTTTCTTTTAAAACTGAAGAGAGATCAAAACAAAGAAATCAAAAATACCAGAGAAGAACTAGGATAAAATCCTTAAGGCTAGAAGAATGGGGATTCAGATTGAACAATTTGCCTCTAAGAAGAGCAATTCCTCCATTTTAACTAAAATAAAAGGGAGAAATTAAATAGGAAGGTCTGCATACATCCAAGGTGAAGAAATATCCTCAGTGTAGTCTTAAAGGAGACAACCCAAAAACCAGTAGCTTAGGTGGGGCTTGCTTCTCCATCAAATTAAGATGATATAGATTATTAGTTGCTTACTAATAATCTTACTTTTTAGCCCTGAAGATAATCCAAAAAAAAAAACCCAATTAATCTAATTTTAAAAATAAAGCTACTTGATACAAAGAAATATATTTGACTCATGAATTAAGAAAAAAAGATGACTAGTGTTTTTTGGAACTAGTTTTGGAAGATCAAATGGGGAGCTAGGGAGAAACATCCTACAACAGAAAAATTAGAAGTGAGAATCCTAAGTAGAGAAAAATATGAGGGGAAAAAGGAATAGATGGAGAACAAGTATTGATTCAATACAGTAATTTCTTGAGCTAAAGAAAAACAGTGAGTGTTCAGATAGAAAAGGCTTACTGATTAAAGGCAGGATTTTAAAAAAGACAAATGGAAATATATAAAAAATAAAACTCTACTGGTTGCTCTATTACTTAGTA